TCTTTGTAAAGGAGTAACTGTTTTGTCAGAAACTTTACTGGAGATACTTATGTCTACACAGAGGCATAAGTAGGGAAGGGACGTGGAAATGGACATCATGTTGAGGTTTCCTAACTGAGTGGGAGTAGAGTGCAGACTTCACATTGTGTGTGTAGGCTCACTAAGGTGGTTGGTGTCTGTTGTAGTTTGTGGATTTTTATAAAAATGATTTAGCACTATAATACTCCATTGTGCTCTATAATACTCCCATGACAACGTACTGTATGAGTATACCAGCTCTGATTTTTAAATCCTCTCATACATGCTTTCTGTAAGTTATGAGAATCCCTACACTTTCTCCTATTGTATCAACTGCTTTTAGATTTCATTTCTTTTTCCACCAACTGTTCTGTTTCACCTTTGCCCATCATTCTTTTCTTTCATTCCCCTTTCTATCACGCCTGCCCTGCAAATCCTGCCACTTGGATTAATTGGAACACGATTCATGTTTTCGGCCCTGCGTAGCTCCTCAATGTGTCTGGCAGTTCTTCTGTGCTCGTTTACCTTTCTCAGATTCATGCAGTCCTGGCAGATGACTTTACCATTGACCTACTGAAGTAATTGAGACGGATTTTCTCGTCTTGTTTTTGAGTCTGCACCAACTATCTCTTGTTACTTTGAATTCTTTACCTATGTCTCGAGGGGTCTTGCTTTGCAGTTCTCTCTCTGAGCTGTGTCTTGAGTTTTTCCCGTCTATTCTTTCTATTTAGTATGCCAGCCTCTCTCTTTCTGTGCATCATCTTCTGCCCTCCGCGTCTTTGTTTGGGAGTGTTCAGGGAAGGTCTGACAGAAGGCCAAAGGGCGGAAAGGGATGATGATCACAATGAAAAACTGGAAGTGATGGATCATTGGATACCCTGGAAAGAAGAAAGCGAAGCCCGAAGGAAACCGACAGGTGGGGGAAAGTAGAGGGACCCAGTGATTCAATCATGATTCCATAGCACCTGCCATGTTTCTGGCGGCTCTCTCCTGGAGGTGATGGACTGACTTGTCTTTCTCCCCTCCTGCTGCACATTGTGTGAAGCTTATGATACCTCATTTGACTTGTTCTGCCAACTTACTTGCTTTGTGACTTTGTTCAAACTCTTTAACTCATCTATACCTCAGTTCCCCATGTATAAAGTGAGGGTAATAATAATAACTCAAAGAATTGTTCATGAAGATTAAAATGGTATTTGTAAAGAACCTTGAACAGTACCTTGGCTGTAGTAATATATAAATAAGAGATAGAACACTTGTAAATATGGAATATATGTTGAGTGAGTGAGCTAGTTTTCTGTAGTACTTAGTCACCAAATCTTAGCAGCTTTTACTTGTCATTGTGAATAACAGTGCCTTGATTTCTGGCTCATAACCCTTTTCTTGTTGTTCTGGACCTTTGAAACATGGCCTTTGTTCTCTTCACTCTCCCCAGAAACTTTCAGCTGTGTCTAGACGCATCCCCATTCTTCATTCAGGCTTTTTGCAGACTTCTCCAAAGCAGGCTTTCTAATTTCTCTTCTCACCTTGCAGACACATTGTCTTTCCACTTGACCTAAACCCACCCACCACAAACCACCCCCCAACAAAAACCACTGCTATTGAGTTGATTCTGACTCATTGTGAGCCTGATAGACCAGGGTAGAGCTGCCCCTTTGTGTTTCTGAGAGTGTAGCTCTTTATGGGAGTAAAAGCCACTTCTTTGTCCCATTGAGCCTTTGATGGTTTTGAACTGAACCTGGTGATTAGCAGCCCAACATGTCATCCACT